GACGGACGGACACGAGAGCGGTTGCATAAGCCCGCTTTAATGCTCTTTTAAAAGCAGAAGGGCGGGCTAAAAACCAAAAACCACAGGTAGCAAAATGTATTTTTTTCTTTTTTTTTTTATTGGTTCCAAAGGGGTTACCCTGAACGGTAGATTTCTCTGGACGAAAATTCCGACCGTTTTGCTCTATGTCGTACCATTTGGGTGCTAGGGGTCATTTCTTGACGAAAATGAGGTGAAAATGACCAAATGGTAAACTAAATCGTAAAAAAGGCTTCATGATCGAAATATTGTAAAGGAAGTAATATTTAAACCACACATTTGACGTCGAACCACGCCCTCCTTTAGGGCTCAAGGGTCCCTAGATTATCTTCTTTCACTACAACGTCGTCTTTTACATAACAATATGTCAAAATTAGAACTTATTATGAATACCTTTATCGAATATCAGAAGTTTAATTTTTCAAATTTTTGATTAATAAGTCCCCGACAAATGCTGTGAGCATGTCAAACTTGGGGACCAGCAGTCCCTAGTTTCTACACTCCTATTAACTCGTCTCGGGTGTCAGCGCCGCAGGTTATGTGCGCCAGGCGCGTCGCAGGCGTTACAGTGTTTCCTGAGATATCGCGAAGCGTGTTACGCGAGACGTGGTCTGGCGTACATGTATAGCTAGTAGTGATCGGTGCTGACAGTGTGCAGCGAACTGCTAAAATGATTTGCTCGTTTGCCAAGTTTAACTGTTAGTATTCCGCCGATAGTGTACACAGCACGCATGACTGCCGAGGCGGAGGCGTCCTCGCCCTACTGGCACCTCTCAGCCGGGCCGCACACGGGAGGGGGGGCCTGAGTGCAGCCGGCTGAGCGGCGCTGAGCACTCAGCCCACTCGGGCGGCATCCTCCTCATTTGCGATGCACCCTGCACGCTGCGCATTAGCTGCAGCTCACCCGGCCGCACAGAGCAGCGTGGGGAGCCGACACAGGAGAGCGGTGGCGTAGAGTTGAATAAACGGCCAGTTGTGTGTGTGTGTGTGTGTGCGTGCGTGTGTGGCGGGGGCGGCCGTTAGTACTCGTGTAGATGACCTCGTAACTGCTCACGACTATAGGACCGCGCAAACCGAGGGGGAAAGTGTTGCGAGACAGAAAGTGCGGGAAAGAATGTTCAAGATAGTGTTGTGTGTGAGAGAGAGGGAAAGGGGGGAGGGGTAGGAGGGGGAG